GTCAAAACAAGATTATTTCAATCAAAGAATTTTATATTTTTGGAGAATGAAAACATTGAATAACTTTTATCAAATAATAAAAGGAAAAAAACACACACCTTAAAACATCACTCAGCGAACTGACCCTCACTTGTCTATGTCGAATCGGTTCAGTATCACATCAGTACTTAAGACTTACTAGAATTCTAAATGCATGACCAACTTTTTCTGCCATAGTTACACAACTGATAGTCTAATGTGGAGCAGTCATACTACTTAACGAAGTTACTTACTTCAAATGTACATATTGTATCTGGATAATAAACAGAATTCACATGTTTTCTCTGCACATTTCTTCAAAAAAAAAAGGTTCATGACGTTAAAACGAAGACAATCAACCAAGGTTCTTTCATATTTTTTCAAATAATATAGATGCTGTTTAAATTATATGCTACTGTCAAGTGGGCCTATAAGATTTTTCAGTGAAAGAATGTCTAGCTTTAGTCTATTTATCACATGGTGATAGTTGTTGTTTGTATATGAAAAATCTGGAAGTGGCTGTACGAATTCGAGAACCAGGCAAAGGTAAAGTTTCAATTACGGACCAAATATTTCATAATCGTATTATCGTGACATTATATTTCTTTTAAATAGTCATTGAACAGTCACTAAAAACTCTTAAGTAGAACGTAGTTATCGCGAAAAAAAATATTTTCTTTCTTCCATGTTTTTTTATTACTCCAGAAATTTGCTGCTTTTTGTATCACGTTCAGACTTAAGTATAGTTTTATGTGTGATGATGGATTTAGTCAGTCGTATGTATATAAGAATCTTGATTCATAAGTAATTACCTGTACCTGAAGGAAAAAATAATTTTTAATGAACAAGCAAAAACTAGTAAAGTATTATTTGATACATTAAAAGATAATGGAAATTGAAAAACGTAAATATATTCCATAAACCTACAACTAGTAAAACAGTAAAGGCGTAAACGAGTTATGGTAATAAACTGTATATTAAATCACTTTACTTCTGGCCATCTCTGTGGCTTTTGATTACACGGAATAAAAGCCTTAACGCTTCTGACGTTATCCAGTTGTGGTATGACGATTTTCAAGTGCAGGTGGTCCTTAAAATTGACCTTTTAGAAAGGTTGACGAGACATTCAGACATGAAGTTTTATTTCATGATTATAAAAGGATGGCAATTTTAGCATTTCTAAAAAATGGGTATCTGTAATATTGGACGTATTGGCAAAGCAAGTAAATGCATAATTTCAGCATGGAAGATATAGACTGTTCCATGCGCAATCTACCCACTACAGCTATAGTTCCTACTATGGAACAACAAGCACCATAATTCAAATGGATCTAGGTATACAAAACTGATTAAAGAATCTTGTTCAGAAGGCACATAATTGAACGGAAGACCATTTGGACCAAGCACAGATGTACTTAAGTGTCTATGAGAGTCGGATTAATTTCGCTCTGTCAATGACACTTAAAAAAATACTGTAAAACATGCTACGAAAGTATTTTCCAGTATATATGTGTGTGTTGTAGGTTACATCTAAAACAATAAATAAACTTCCTTTTCGAATGAAAGCACAAAGGAAAATTAATGGTATACCATTTCCAGACATTTCCAATTGACTTCATTACTTTGGGGTTGCTGAAAATGAGCCTTTGGAACTCGTCTGCTGCTTACAGTTGTTAGACTTGGAAAGCAAGTAAAGCTGAGGGGGACAAATTTATAGTTCGTGAAAGTTTTCTGCCATCCCATAGGGAATTATCGGTAGTGGAAGAAGGCGCCTTAAGTACAAGACACTCATATTTATATCATTACAAAAAAACTTTCTTTACTGTTATAACATAATCCATTCATTTTATTTGTACTTAAGTTGACTTTCAATACCGCACAGTTCTAATAGTAAATTAGAAGCAATGGTTAGGATGATTTTAAAGGTTCATTTGTATGAATGCTTGTTTCAGAATAGCAGTGTCACAGCTCACCTAATCGTCACTAATTATAGCAATGTCACAGCTCACCTAACCATCACAGAACTGTCGCTAGTGATAGCAGTGTCACAGCTCACCTGAATATCACAGAATTGTCGCTAGTGATAGCAGTGTCACAGACCACCTAACTATCACAGAACTGTCACTAGTTAATGCAGTGTCACAGCTCACCTAACTATCACAGAACTGTCGCTAGTTAATGCAGTTTCACAGATCACCTAACCATCACAAAATTGTCGCTAGTGATAGCAGTGTCACAGCTCACCTAACTATCACAGAATTGTCGCCAGTGATAGCAGTGTCACAGCTCACCTAACCATCACAGAACTGTCGCTAGTTAATGCAGTGTCACAGCTCACCTAACTATCACAGAATTGTCGCTAGTGATAGCAGTGTCACAGCTCACCTAACTATCACAGAATTGTCGCCAGTGATAGCAGTGTCACAGACCACCTAACCATCACAGAACTGTCGCTAGTTAATGCAGTTTCACAGATCACCTAACCATCACAGAATTGTCGCTAGTGATAGCGGTGTCACAGCTCACCTAACTATCACAGAATTGTCGCCAGTGATAGCAGTGTCACAGCTCACCTAACCATCACAGAACTGTCGCTACTTAATGCAGTGTCACAGCTCACCTAACTATCACAGAACTGTCGCTAGTGATAGCGGTGTCATATTTTGTTGAAAGATCTTAGTGATGTTTGATGATTTTTTCAGATTCCTAAGAAACATAATATTTTATACGACAAACCACGTATGTTTTTGCAGAAATAAAACATTCAAAGTTGTAAATGTTTGTTTGTTTCTGAATTTCGCGCAAAGCTACACGAGAGCTATTTGCGCTAGCCGTCCCTAATTTACGAGTGTAAGACTAGAGGGAAGGCAGCTAGTCATCACCACCCACCGCCAACTCTTGGGCTACTCTTTGACCACGAATAATGGAACTGACCGTCATATTATAATGCCTCCATGGCTGAAAAGGTGGACATGTTTGGTGTGACGGGGATTCGATCCCGCGACCCTCAGATTGCGAGTCGAGCGCCCTAACCACCTGGCCATAGTTGTAAATGGCAAACATTTTTTTAACTTTAGGGGCCACATCCTTCAGATAGAAATACAGACAGACAGACACGCACACGTATATATATATATATATTCTGGGTGATTGAGAAGTCCATTGATAAACGAATAATTCAAAGTTGAAGAGGTACGGAAAAATGATTCCGTTCTTTGAAATGAGATGTTGTGGAACTACATTTTGGCAACACTGTTGAGGTTATTCGAGGTCACGTCCTTCGAAAACTTAATTTAAATGCGTCATACAAGCAAAACGTCAATGATAGGAAATGGCTATTCGTACTTTTGGGAATAAATTATCAAGTGAGTATAAAGTTCTGAAAATAAAAGTCGGTTTGCGATATGAAAAACAATCTTGATGACTTTATATTATTTTAGGAGAAAATGGCAAGGTAGATTTTTTTTTCGCATACAACTATACACCTTATATTAGAGTACTTGCTATTCCAATATCTGTGGTCGAAACATAGAAATGTTTCTTAAACGCAACCTCTATAGTACAGTATTAAGGATAGCAGGACGTTCTTCAAACCATTGTTTTTCATTAGATCTCACAAAATAAATTGACCATAGCAGGTGCGAATTTTGATTTCTTAATAAATCAATCAATTTTATCATAAATTCATTACTTATATCCCCTTCAAAAAATTTACTAAATGTCCGCATATTTAGGATCTGTCAGATCTACTATTTGAAACATTCAACTTATAGATCTTAGGTAAACCTATGAAAGCATACGTATTATAACTTGAGAACCATTATGTTTGATTTCTTTCTGAACACTACTTATTACTGTTTTACCTTCTTTGTCTGGGTTACGACTAAATCAACTAATTTTCCAAGTTTAGTGAAGACAAATATTCGTTTAGAGATATATTATAAGATATCTATTCAGAATCGTTGTTTCGAAAAGAAGACAATGCTAGACTACTGATATAAGTTCTCATCATATTAAAATACACATCATTGTAGTGAGATATAGAACAGTCCTCTGAATGAATAAACGGAGTTTCAAAAATGAGAAACAAGTATCCAATTTAAGTGTTTTAGGAGCAAATAAAAAGGTAATTCACGTGCTAATGTTCTTATCCTAAAAATAATTAAGTTTTTAAGAACATTAATTAGTTTGTTTGTTTGGAATTAAGCACAAAACTATACAATGGTCTATCTGTATGGAAACCCGGTTTCTAGCGTTGTAAATCCACAGACATACCGCTGTGCCACTGGGGCCCCATTAATTAGTAATGGTACCATCAGGTTTCCTCATAAACGAGGCACTGTGCTGCGTAGAATTAAACCGATTTAATTTACAAAGTTAATTAAAGTTAATTATTTTTCTAGTGATTGATTCGTATTTCGTTTTCGAAGAAACTTTGAAGTTGAAACCAAAGAATATTACGAACATAATGTTAAAAACCTGCCCGAGTAGATCATGAAAATATAATACCAACATATAATTGAACAATAGAAGTATAACTGTGCACTAGAAATTTTCAAAGTTTTAAGGATTTTATAGAAAAAAAAGAAAATTCACGAGTTTATCTCGCAATAGAGTTAAAGCTATCTTGAAATAGTTTATCTTTATTGGACAAATATGCAAAAAAAACTAAGTCAGAAAACCACATTAAATCTTTGCTTACGATTAGAAAATAAAAACTCGATAATGCAGTACAGTTACGAACATACACGACTTTTTTGAGGAATTTATCCATTAGATGAAGCAACGATAAATATTACATTGTTTCGTCTAAAGTATAAAGTCTTCAAAAACTTTTGCTTAATCAATTAGATAAAAGCGCTTTCTGTGTAACAGCTGGATGATTGTAGATTCATATTATTAAACTAATATGCAAACTGTCGTTGTCAGCCATTTCTAAAAATAGTTTTCTTTTTTAAGCCATTTGTTTGTTTATGTTTCAGAATTTCGTGCAAACTATACAAGAACTGTCTGCCTGAAGACTTCCTTAATTTTGAACTGATAAATTAGTGAGAAGAAAGCTAGACAACAGCACCCAGAGCCAAATATGGATTACTCTTGTGGGATTGGCCTATTACATTTTTTAGTGCATCCATGACCTCAAGTGCGGAAGTATTTTTGTAGTGTCGGTCGGCGAACTGTGAATGTTGAGATTTACGTTAACCACGAGGCTACGCCTCACTCTTCTCAAATAGGAATAAAACAGAAAATTAATTTTGTCAAATTGTACTTTAAGATATGTATTAACTAGTATGAAAGATATTTTTATATCAATAAGTGGGTTTCATATATCTAAGATATGAAATATGAGAGAAATCAACATCTCAGATAAAGGTATCAGTATCATAGAAATATTTCACAATGAGGTTATGAGTTTAATATACACGGTAGAAACATTTCACGCGATGGCTGTAAGTTAAACTAAACAGTGAAAATGTTTTGTTATAAAAAAGATATTTCTTGCTTATATTGACTTAGTTTTCAATAAAGTTATTTGATAGATTGGGATAAACTGGGAAAAAACTAGAATCATCGACACAGACAAATTTTGGAAGACAAGAAAAATTAACGAATCATTTTATATTAACACAATTAATCCTTTACTAAACAGAAATTCCGGATTAGATGTGAGTCCTCAGTGGCTACCATTGCTTGAATCTCCAATCAGAAACAGGGATAAAACAACCAATCATAACACGTCCTGATGGACCATCAGTTCAATATCGGCCGTTTAGTTTACTTTGCTCTTCACTTTTTATTGTTTACCGTTACTCTCACGTTTACCTTTTTAAATTTACATACCTTGTCTGCATTAAGTTCCTGTTTTCTCAAGTTAAGGCCATATTTCTAGGCCACGCGCGAGGTGAAGGAGGATTGTTTAATCTTCGCGCACCCTAGATTAGTAATCATTTCTTCGGAAATAATTATTTTTAAATCTAAATAAGTGCCAGAAACGAACGAACACACACTGCCCTGAAAATGAAAGGCAGAAGACTTTCGAAACGTCGTCCTCTACACTTGTATCTCTACAACCGGCAGTTGCTGTCCATTCTACAAAGTTCCATCCAATAAAGTTGTTAAATCTTATTAATAACGGCGTACTTGCTTTTTTGTTTAATGATAAACAAATTCTTTGTCTATGCATAGTTTCCAGATAATCTAATATGAGGTGTTTCACCTTCTAGTACTATAAAAAGGAGTAAAATAACAACGAAACTTTACAGAAAAAACAATTTTCACAATTCACAAAGATATTATTGAGATTATATAAATTGAATGTGTAAGAGGATATGACAATAATATAATTTTCAGCAGGTTAGCGTTCGAGAGTTCCGATTCATTTAGTTTAATTTGATAACATGAAATTAAGTGATTTAAGAAAACAACCTAAATATGCTACATGGCTCAATAATGACAGTACTTTTCATTATTATTATTATTAGTGTTTGTGTGTGATCACCATAACTTCGAGAGGAAAGAACCTAGAAACCTAAAATTTTGCACCCATACGAAACAGACACTGAGGGTGTGCATCTTGGTATTATTAGTTATCTGCGGGCGTATGCGCATGCGCTTGCTCGTCTTTTTAATGAGGCAAGCTAGCGATAAATCATATAGAAAAAAAATGTGACCGCCATAGCTCCAAGAGCAAAGAACCTAGAAACCTAAAATTTTGCACACATACTAAGTGGACCCTGAGAGTGTGCACCTGGATATTATTACTTATCTTATCTACGTGCCTGCGCGCATGCGCATCTTTTTAATGAGACAAGCTAGAGAAAATCCACATAGAAAAGAAGTGGTTCCTTATATAAGAACTTGTAGCATATAGAAAAGCCAGTGAGTTTTAGGAACAATGCATTCAAACAATGGCTTTTATGTCATGTTACTTAGCAACCAATATTGTTGTTAGTATATATATATATACTGAAAGTATAATTTGAAATGTGTAAACTACAAAATTGAAATATATATATATACATATATATATATTTTGATTTCTTAATTTAGAGACTCGGAAGAATACACACAATGACATAGTCATCTATAATATATCAACCTAATAGCCCGAATACAAATAACAGACTGACACGCACGTAAGTGCGTGCGCGCATGCTCGTGCGTGTCTGTGTGACCGCCATAAAGAGGAAAGAACCTAGAAACCTGTAATTTTGCACTCATACTATGTGGGCTCTGAGGATGTGAACCTGGGTATTACTTATCCTATCCGATTGGTTTTATGTAATTTTGCTTAGCAACAACAGTATAGGTTATACTTTTATGCTAAAATTTGATTCAGAATACACACACTATCAACCTAATACCCCAGCGAAGCCGGATACTTTCGCTAGTTATTTTATAAATATTGCATTCGTTCAAGGTACCTTAGTGGTAAGATTGAAGGCTTATAACGCTAAAATTCGGGGTTTGATATATGCAATGAACAAAGAAGTGAGTTTTTATGTTGCACAAAAAGGTTTTTTTTGAGGTACTGACTTGTGGGAGACGAAATACATATCTGAAATGTTATTTTTTACACATTTTTAATTTGTAGTCCAAAATGATCAAGTTAAGAGGAATGTGCAAAACGTAATCTATAGCTTACATGATATTTAGCACAAATGCTAGGCCTACTGCTTTCTAATGCTCCGCCAGCTTTCGAATTTACAAAACATAGATTTTGTATATATTGTTTGACTATACAGAGTGGTAAGCAGTTTTCTTAATTATACTAGTTAATCCTAATATATCCATTTATGTATATTTTGACTCCGGATTTTGAACCTGGTGAATCACAAAATATTCTGCGAACTATAAACTACGGAGGCGTTATAAGAGTAATAGTCATTTTCTTAGCGTAGACGATGGTTGGTAAAGTTCTGCTGATTTCTTAAGAGTCTTGACTGATGTTTCAAGAAAACATTGATCACTGCGTAGAAATCTCCTTCCTCCTGTACAAAAATAATTCGAAGTGGTCAATAATTTATTATTATTCTTTACTTTTACGTGGGTACTTCATGATTGAGGCAAGCTAGCGAAAAACCACATAGAAAAATAAGTGTGACCGCCATAGCTCCATGAGCAAAGAACCTAGAAACCTGAAATTTTGCACACATATTAAGTGGACCCTGAGGGTGTGCACCTGGATATTATTACTTATCTTATCTTCATAAATAGCTGTTAAACACTGACAGGCATTGATATTTTCTTTGGTTATCTAGCTGTATGAGTGTAATTAACATCATAAAGCTAGGTTACCAAAGTTAAAAACAACTGCCGTAATCTTCAGAAAGAAAAAAGTTGAAAGGAAGACGGAATCACTCTCGTGGTTAAAAATGAAAAGCATATCAACGTCATCAAAGTGGAGAGATATGTTAATAAATCTATGTAAAAAAAAATGATGAACAAAAAAAACAGCATTTAAGTAGTGAAGGTACAATTTAAATTAAATCCTACTTATTTACACCACCTTTACCTCTTACCATCATCAGACCGTCATTCTTACTTAAATTTACTTTTTAAATTAAACTTTACAAAATGAGCATTCAATGTATTATTTATAAGCTATTTGGTGAACAAGAAGCGACTAAGGATGAGTGGTGCAAGATATTTGCCCCCAGTGGCATAGCGGTATGTCTGCGGAGTTATACTGCTAGAAACCGGGTTTTGATACCCGTGGTGGGCAGAGCACAGATAGCCCTTTGTGTAGGTTTGTGCTTAATAACAAACAACAATGACAGCAAGATATTTGGTGAACAAGAAGCGACTAAGGATGAGTGGTGCAGCGCATAACGTCGGCAAAGAATACGATCTTCAGATGATATTTCTGTTGGTTCTTCTAGGATTTGTCTAAACGAGTTTACTCCATCTCTTTATGAGATTTTGTACTCATGTTTTCAATACCGGCAGAAGTATTCGGTGAAGAATACCAGACGTTTTTTGTTTTTTTAGAACAAACTAATGTTTAATTCACGTGACAGTGTTTAGGTCTAGACAAATTCAACTCACGTTTTGAAACATACCATATATTCATTTTCTTTTTAAATTTGGAAAGATTGACATTTAAGACTGCAAAAAAGTTTTCTAAATTTTCAAAAATACGCATATTCGGGGGCAAACATAGGATTCATATAATATATATCTGGTTATGGAATGTGGTTAAACTACTGTTCTTTAGCTTACACGGGGTCATTCCTCCCTGGTGTACAAAAGCTTCCAATGGAAAACGCTGTTGTAAAACTGGAATAGTTCTGCATTCTAATTGGTCTGAACCTTTTCTAATATCATTCACCCCTATAAGTTTTTCACAAAAGCTCACTCGCCCCTTTTCGAAAAAAAAAGGCAAAAAAAGTACTAAATTAGAATGCTACATTCTTTATTATGGCTTAAGTATACATCAAATTACAACTAGAATGAATATAACATAAAATAAAAAATAAATGAATGTATTTATCAAACTACAACAATAATAAATAATAATAATTAATGACTTTTCTGCTCTTGAAGTTGTTGTATAATTGACAACACTCATTCACCCTAATTCTGATATCATTAATCCCTGGATGAACCATTCACCCAGTTGAGAAGCACTGATGTAGAGTCTCGCAGTCCTAATTCTGATATCATTAATCCCTGGATGAACCATTCACCCAGTTGAGAAGCACTGATGTAGTTACTGGAGAGTATATCCAAGAGTGCCGTGGGTAATGCACGCACTTTGAAATAAATTACATTGTTGCGTCACCTATATACCAATTAACTTTCCCAGTTTAGGACACATGTCTTTTAGATTTTTATTGATAGAGATCTCATTCCAGTCTCTAGAAAGAACAGCCTTCTTTCGTCCAATGTACACACCCTGATGAATTGTGTTTTTTATCTTTTGTGCAATAAAGATTAACTTTCTTTTTCACAGGTAAGTTGTGTCCGGTTTCTTTCTTCTATGTCAGGTAGAAACTCAGTTTAACACTGCACAACGATTTCTGTTGTTCTTTTGGTTATTAAAGTCACTTTGTTTTATCTGTAAAATAAGCAGTGTACCTGAGAATGCCATAATATAAGGGAAATTTTGATGTACGGATCCAATTATTTGTTATTGCAGTTTTGTGTTTTCTTAACGAGTATATTTTTGCATTCTTTTGTACTCTCGTTCTCCACAGCCCTATCATGACCTGTGAGAATCTTTTAGTTGTCTACTACTCACTTCTCTTTAGTATCATTTATTTAGTATAATTCTCAAACAAAAATAATTTTAAAAGTTAAATTCTGTACAGCTC